TATTCAACAAACATTTATCACTCATTTAAAATTAAAAAACAAAACAAAACTGGAGGCACAGATGTGTTATATGATGCCTTTTTGAAGGAAAGGATTCTTTAGTCCATTACTACTTCCTAAATAGATACATACATGTGGACACAACTTGTCTAAGCTGTGTGGCTAACTTAAATCTTCTCCCAATGTATACATGTAAAATATATAATGTGTGCATAGCTGTGTGTATACTTGAAAGTACTGAAAAGCCTTGGGTGATTTTAGGGATCACCTAGTTAGCCCTCATTTTGCATGTTAGTTGACAGTAAGAAAGATGACTTATACCTGACTCAAATTATGAAAATATTCCCATTTCTTATAATAGTACTAGAATTTAACCTCACGATTACTCTGATATTAGAGGATAACTTATAAAACCAGTATATTTTTTAAACCATCTATGTTTAAGATCAAAAGCCTTGATCTTAAGAGTTACTCTAGGCCGGGCGCGGTGGCTCACGCCTGTAATCCCAGCACTTTGGGAGGCCGAGGCGGGCGGATCACAAGGTCAGGAGATCGAGACCACGGTGAAACCCCGTCTCTACTAAAAATACAAAAAAAAATTAGCCGGGCGCGGTTGTGGGCGCCTGTAGTCCCAGCTACTCGGGAGGCTGAGGCAGGAGAATGGCGTGAACCCGGGAGGCGGAGCTTGCAGTGAGCCGAGATCGCGCCACTGCACTCCAGCCTGGGCGACAGAGCGAGACTCCGTCTCAAAAAAAAAAAAAAAAAAAAAAAGAGTTACTCTAAACTTTATTTTATTTTATTCCTTTGTTCAAATTTGCAAATATTTACAAATATTTTTAAGTAACTACTGAAGTACTAATTACTTTTTAAGTATATCACACAAAATTAAAAACTCCTACTTCATTTCCCTACACTATTCAGAAATTAATAGTGACACTAATAGGGTATCAACAGTGAGGCCTCTTGCTAAGAAAGCCGGACAGTTAGTAAATAAACATACATTTACACACTTGCATGAAGAGGGTGCAAATGAGTTAATTCACTATAAAACTTGTATTCTGAAACATTTAGTGCTGTACTGTGCAACTCATAAATAGGACCTTTGTAAGCATTATTCTGTCCTAATGACTACTTTATGCTTTAGAAAACTTTGTGTAAATAGATTTGACATTTCTCCTCTTTCCTTATATATTCCAATAGGAAAGAATAAGATAGGGTGGAAGGGTCCTTTCATTTCAGAACTCAATTAGCATCACTTTAACAGGGATAAAAATAACTGTATGAAGTCATTAGAAAACCCCAGGCCTAATTTTAGCTAACATTTTCAACTTTTCCTCCTTATCCTGAAAATAAATTTTAAAAGTCATTTTCAACTCATTTTAATTCCACATTCTTTCTTCTCACTTCTGGTAGAGGTGATAATGAGCAGTGAAATCATCAAAAGAAAGGTGGTGGGATTGAGGAGGGAAAGAAATGAATGGCATAGAAAATCCACAAAGTGGATCAGGAGTTGCCGAATAAAGAACAGTTAACTAAATGCGGTTTATTGATGATGCATATGACTTACTTCCTGGAGTCAGTCCCTGGGAGATTTGAAAGAAGGAAAAAATACAGGCTGTGCAAAGAATAAAGCAATCGTAAACCCTATGAATTAGCATAGAAATTAGGTCAGCGCCAAAACAAATCTATTGAAGGAGACAAAGAATTTTAAATTTTGTTTTAGGAGACCGATCATCTATTTCTTCAGATACCTATTTTTCATTCTCACAAATTTAAGTGTTACATTTGGGAAAGTTTAATGAAAATTTATGCTTAAGTAATGTTTTTATACAGATCAACAGATCTTTTGACTGGCTTGATAAAATCTCTTTTTATCTGACTCTGTGAGTCTAAAGTGCGATTGTTAGAAAACTGCATGACTGTTCTAATCTCAGCATGTGTGGCATATATCAAAGCATTGAGTAAGTATCATAGGGTCAGTAAAAGACTTTGTCAATGATGTACATAGTCAATATTTTCATGGTGAAAATAGGAAAAGCTACGATCACTAGCTACTTCTTTCTTGATATCTTTTTAGAAGGAGAGCAGAGTTTGCTGACCTCAATTTCATTTACTGCTAACAGCCAGCAATATTCAGCACCTAACTTTCACCAAGTGCATGGTGGACGTTACATTGAACATTCACAAAGTCTCTGCAAGTTAATGATGACCGCATTTTACAGATGAGGAATAGAAGGCTTTTAGAGGTTAAGTAGGTTGCTTGTGGTCACACAGCTTTGGAAGTGGCTAAGTTAGGAGGAACAAGGAAAATCTGAGTTAGTTTATTATAATGCTGGTGAGCCTTTTAAAAACAAATATAGGGGATAGTCTAACGTTAACTGAAACAAGAACATATGTTGAATAATGAATATGTACACATTATAAATAATGCATATAATCTGATAGTAACAGAACCATTTCAAAACTACCAAACATCTGGAAAAATTAAACAATTATAAACTTCAATAAAAATGTACATAAACTATATTTCTGAAACAATGAGTACTCTGTTTTTTTCCAAATTATTTGAATTATCAAGAAAAGAATGTGGGTTTTGTAACAGAATTTGTATAAGCAATTTAGAATTATATGGCAATAAAACATTTACTTGGAGAAAAGAATGCGCTTCTTGATAATGAAATTGTAAATATCCTAAAGGCCCACCATTTCTTAATTGTAGATAATATTAAAATTTGGTCCAGTTGATATCAAGTTTATTTAGAATACAGTAATAGCAGTTTTTTTTTTTGTGGATTGCTTCTCTTTATGAATACATTCTGCATTAACTAGATTTAAATGAAATATGAATAATAATTGGTTTTTAATGATAAAATTTTATTAAAACTTGTTTTAAATATTCATATGTTCTTTTAGAATTCAAATGTCAAACAAACATAGATAAGAATTTAGATTTTGTGCAATTTAACAGTCACGTAGGCAAAGGACAAAAAAAGCTAGAAGGAAAAAAGAGATTGGCAAATTTCCATGGAAAACAATATATTTTATGGTATTTTTCTTTAAATAAAAAGAATTAAAACTTTTAAAAATGTGCCATAAGCATGGCATATACTCCTGGCCAACATGGCATATATTCTATATAGGAGTAACTATTCTTATTCTAAATGTGGATATACATGGTGTGCTTTCTTAAAAAAAAATAATAATAAAGCACAATTACTGCCACTTTGTATTTCAATACCTCTCCAAAAAAAAATCCACATTTATTAGAGTCCTGCCAGAGCTTGTTAAACTATTCAGCAATGATTATAAAAGGCATTTTGCACATAATATACACCAGTCCTAAAGCTGAGAGACCTCAAGTATCCTTACTAGCTGTGAGTGTGACTATTTAAGCATTTCTGTAGGATTTCTGGATCCTGGTTGACTCAAGATGCCATCTCCACACAGCCATATAATATTTAAGAAAACCTCAATTAGGCTAGCCATGGATCCTTCAAATCTGCATCACTGCCACAGGCTCTCTAAGGTACTACACACAGTCTACAATAAACCTCCTTAATATCATAATCAAAGTATCAGTGAGCTTTTCAGCAAAAAAAAGACAGGTTTTCACTTATCACTTAAAACCATTTATCACAAAATAGTAGAAATCTTGACTCAACATTATATTTTCCCTCCAATAGATTTTGGCAAATGAATGCCATATTTCTCAGAAGTTACCAGACACTAAAAAAGGGTTGTAACAACAGAGAAGGTGCCACGCTCTTCTTGTTATTGCTTTTCTTACAAGTCCTTTGCACATTCATCGTCCACTTTCCCTGACTTCAGTGACACTACACTTGATAGTGTTTTGTACCTTACATCTCTGTCCTATTTTTGTCTTTGCCGGGTTTTCTCGCTCCTTTTATCACTTTTTAACTATAGGTTTCTCCAAAGGTCTTTTCTGTTTTTTTCTATAATCACTCACTGGGGAGTCCTTTTATTGGAATTCTAGTCATCCAGGCCTTCCAATTGCACTCCCAATGCCTTCAAATTTTATGCATCCTCAAAATTTCCTGTAATTAGGAAACATCATCTACAGTTGAAAAGTTATTTTTCCCTAGGTGAAATCTCATCCCTAAGGATTTTTATTCCCTCTTCCACAAATGGCCTGTTCCCAGTCAGGCAATCTACATATGACAATGCTTCTAGCATAAAACAGAAACATCCATACTTACAAACATTTTATCTACTTAAAGGTAGTTCACAAGTATATTTAGTTATACATCCAAATTATTATGAAACCAACTACTATTGCCAACTGTTGGTGGAAGGCAGAACTGAGGTACATGGCTTTGTTCTCACCATATTAATACATAGAGGACTGACTGTTCTTGGAACATAGCAGATGTAGAAGTTTGAAAAAAGCACACAGTGGAACAGTGCACTGTTGCCTGAGAAAAGTCAACTGCCTGAATCACAAGTGGCCTCAGAGAGTGGCATTAAAGTCATGAGATCTAATAACAGCTACCAGTTTTTGAGTATTCACTAGACTAACATATTTATGTGTATGTGTATGTATACGTATGTAAATATGTGTGTGTGTGTTGTATATAAATTCTTACAGATAGGTATCATTATTTGCAATTGAAAACTGGGGAAATTATAGCTTAAAGCATTATGTACCTTATCCAGGATCACACAGCCATCATTAACATCATATCAAGCATTACCTTAATTCAAGAACAATTACCCTGCATATATTAGGCTATACAGTCTATATGTTGAAAAACTGAATTTGGGAAAGGAGTGAGGATAGAGAGAATATTTTAAAATCTCAGGCATTAAGTCATATTGACCTAGCCTGACAATAAGCCCCAAATTTCCCATGAGAGTTTGTTTTCAGGCTGTTTTCCCATGGCATTGATTGGGCTCTTTTTTACTCTTAAAGTACTGTGGTTTAAACAATAAAATATGCGGTCAACTTCAATTATTCATATTAACAAGATTGGTTCAGAAAATCAATGAGCATGAAAATATAATGAAAATGTGTTACAAAGACTTCCATATTCATGTGGCATGGTCACTGCACTTTTTTCTGAAGATAGATCGTCATGAGAAGCCAAAGAAGAACCAGGTGAATCAAACTGTGGAATGAATGAAATGTTTTTTCACAGCAGGCTGAAGCCTCGAAGGATTCAGCCAATGAAGATGGGATACATACAGCCATTTGGCTTTGATTCCCTCTGTGCTTCTCGGTGCTTCCATGCATACTTTCTCTGGGATGCTCTTCTTTTGGTTTCAGAAGCTGGTAAGTCTCTGCTGATTAACACATGATTTCTTTACAAACACAGAACCTTTCTCAGGGTGTGGGAAGCCTGAGGTCTCAAAACCATTCTCTTCTTCAAAGAGCTCTTTCGTGCTTCTGTTCTGATTGTGTATCAAATGAGAGGAAAAGACATTTTCCCTTATTTCCAAGGTACGAGAAGGCATTTCAGTGTAGCCTGTGGGTATGAACCAAGGAGACAGCATGGTACTTATGAGCCCAGGCTTTGTGATCACACAGATCTGGCTTCAAGTCCCCATTCTGCAATTTATTTACTAGTAGTGTTACCTTGAGCATTACTTAGAATTTTTAAGAATCAATTTATATCCCAATTACCCTGTTTTGATAGTTACACATTACATGCCTGTATAAAAACATCACATATACTGCATAAATATATGTACCTATTATGTACCTGTAATAATTATATACAAAAATTTTTTTTAAAAATTAAAATTTTAAAGCATTTACCATTTACTAGAGAGTATCATAACATTATATGTGTTAAGTTACTTAATTTTTATAGCAGTTGTTGAGCTAGGTACTGTTATTGTCATTATTTTAATATGAGTCATACAGCAGCTATGTAACTTGATAAGCTTTCACAGCCAATAGTAGAGGAGCTGAGATGGGAAAGAAGGCAAGTTGCCTCCAGAACTCTCAGTCAACCATTTCCCTGCACTTTGTCCTGTTAAATAGGGTTAGAAGTACTTACTTACCTCAATGAATAGTGGTAGGTATTTAAATAAGTAAGTGTATTTAAAGTGTTTACCACAATTCTTGCCGCATAGTAAGGTTCAATAAATGCTAGCTGTAATAATCTTAATTATATTCTCCCCTTTCCTTCTCCTTCCAATCATTCATTTTCATTCAAAGTAAACCATGGTTCTTTTTATTTTATGTACACTATATAATTATTGCTATTTCTGTACCTTTTCCAGTGAATTTTTCTTCAATTAAAAATTCTTGTATTGTGTGGATAGCTTTTCCAAAACATGATTTTTCTTCATAGTCTAGTGTATGTGACTTTATTCATTCCACTTTTTTGGTGCCTTTATCCACACTGAGTTTGATTTCTCTGGGTTTTTACTGAATTATTTTAAAAATCATCTCAGTTATGTTTTATTATAAGTTATAATAATTTTGCATGTCTTTACACATTGTTCTGTATCATTTTCAGACAGAACAGAATTTCCTCGTATCAGTTTATAATGTGGATATGAACATTTTACTTGTTTCATTATTTTATATAAATATATTTTCAGTGAGGCTTATTTTATCCACATCTTTGGAAATATTTATGATAATTTAGCATGAATTACTAAATATCGAATATATGTTTTAACTGGAATGTAAAATTTTAAGATTTTCTAGTATATGTAAAACAATAGTTCCAGAAATTCTAGTTATTTATAATAGCACTGTAAGTATATGAGGATATTCATTTCTTCAAAGATATCATTATTGGATAAAGGGTATTTTATTTATTTCCAGTAAGATAGTTCCAAATAGCATTTATTTGATGGGAATATTAATAATTTTGAAAATGGGAAATTGCTTCCATGTTTTTGGAGGTGGATATTAATAGTTTTTCTTAGTGTTTTATGAATAATACTATAAATACACCATAAAATATGGGTGCCATGATTTTTATTCAAATATTTGATAAGTTTCTTGGATATTTACTGTATCTTGACTTGGATTTCCTCAATTAAATAACAAGCTCTTAATGGATAATGGTAAACACGGACAAAGCCTGTAGTCAATGTTCAATTAATAATTTTTAAATGGCTGAAAGCAATAATCTCTTAAATTTTAGTTAATTAAATACTATTAAAATATTCTTAACTCTCTCTAGCAGTATAGATGATAAATTTCCAGATATGGGAGACTCTGCCTGTTTAAGTAGTATTTGCCACAACACTATTTATTTCCTTTTAGTGCTTGTAATAATGAATATAAACATAAATGTTATTTGACTATGATATGTTATATTGTTCTCTAATGTGAACATAATCAATTTAATTAATATTCTTTTACCAGAAGTAAAATGTAATGTGATTAACTTTGTTTATTGAAAGAACATGAAAATGTTTTTCTCCAAATTAAATACATCAGAAACATTGTATTCTCATTTTTATTTCTGCTAAATGGATCTCCTACCATCCAGAGACTGTCGGTCCATGAGATCTGCTAATCCACTTTTTCTTCTTTCTTTGGTCAAATTGTTCCCTAAAGTTTAGCAAAATGAAAATAATGTAAAAATTCTTTGCTCCTCCAGAGAAAATGTTTTCTTTTTGTCTGCCTTGAAAAATCTGTTCTTTTCATATTTGTCTCTTGCTTACAATGTGAGAGTTAGCAATAAATGAACAACTGAATGGAAACGAAGACCTCAGAGTTGTTTTCCCCGCGGAGTCAATGCCTTTGGGTAAACAGTGACTCTTTATTCTTCCTGTGGTTTGTGGTATATTTTCATTATCTGTAAAGTATAGAAAATAATACCTTTCTCTGATGTCATGCAGATTAAGTAAAAAGTGTGTCCGCAAAGAGCTTAAAATTTCAGAAACAAAAAATGTTCTTATTTCACTACCAGGGTTGTAGATGAATTCACATGGTCTTCAATGCCAAAGCTTGATAAGATAAAGCTGCTGTAATCAGCTTCATAGAACAATCCTGCAGTAATCTTTTGTACTCCAGTGTCGACCAGTCTTCACTATTGTCTCTTTCTACCTTTTCTCATTTCTTCCTGTTACCTAGTTTGTATTTCCTTATATATAATAGAAAAAAAAAGGTTCTAAAGGTCAAAGATATTATCAATAAATCAGCCACTGGGATATTGCTGTCAATATACAATATTTTATATGACAAAAATATTATATGCCTTATTCGAGCCATTTTATATTAAGGCAATATTTGAGACTTTTTTTTTTAACTTGAGATGGTAGGCATTGCAGAAAGTGTGAACTCAGTGTATATTGTTGGACTTTATGACACATGAAATGTTTTAGAATTTAAAATCAATTAAGTAAAGGATATATAAACCAGTTTTATTAATAGGAATTACAAAGTTATGCTAATCTCTTAGTTCAATAAAATTTTGCTGACTACCATCCAACTAACTAGGTACTGTTATTATCCTAGTTATAGATGGGAAAATCAAGGCACAGATCTTATATTATTTTTATTATCTTAAAGGAATATCCGAGACTGGGTAACTTATAAAGAAAAGAGGTATATTTGGCCCATGTTTCTGTAGATTGTACAAGAAGCGTGGCACCAGCCTCAGCTTCTAGTGAAGGCTTCAGGCTGCTTCCATCTATGGTGGAAGGTGAAGGGGAGCCAGTGTGTGCAGCGATCACATGGCAAGAGAAGAAGCAAGAGAAAGCAAGAGGTACCAAGCTCTTTTTAACAATTAACTCTTGTGAGCAAGAGCAAGAACTCACTCATTACCCTGGGAAGTGACTCATGAGGAATCTTCCCTTAGGACCTAGAAATCTCCCCTTAGGCTCCACCTCCAACATGGGGATCAAATTTCAACAGGCAATTTGGGCGACCAACACCCAAACTATAGTACACAATGAGTACATTAGGCAAAGTTATAAATTAGTTCCAAACTCTCAGCAGTTTAACACAATCAAGATTTATTTCATACTCAGATGTTTATTGTTATTCTCCATATATTTTCACTCAAGGATCAGGCTGATCTCTTTCACCACGTAATCTCTGCATGTTCTGGCACCCCTTCACCTTCCACCAGGAGTGGAAGGAACCTGAAACCCTCACGAATTGGATGCTGGTGTCATGCTTTTTATACAGCCTGCAGAACAATAAGCCATATGCACCCCTTTTCTTCATAAATTAAGAAAGACCATTGCTTGTGACTCCTCTTATCCAATTCTTAGCTTTCAGTGTCACTGTGGAAGGAAGGAGTAAACATGGAGAGCTCATAGCAGCTATGAAATGGCTTACCCAAACTGGGCACACATTGCTTCCACTCACAGCTTACTGGCCAGAACCCATCACATCCCTCCCATTCCTACTGTCTGTAAGAGATTAAAACATGTAGACCTCTCTTATACCCAGAAAGAAATACCGAATTAGATCTGAACACTTAGAATAATTTTAGAAGAAAGTTTAAGTAGCTCATCCAAAACCCAACAGCTGGTAAATGGTGGAACTGAGATTTAAATCCAGATAAACTGACTGCAGAGCCAGCATTGCAAACCATCTTTATATCATTAATATTCATTTAGAAAACATCTGATGTCATTTTATGGCCTCCATTTCTTGTTTCAAATTCTAAGCTTATGATTTTATTTTAGAGTCATTTATTCCAAATATCTATTGCGTTAAAATCCAATAAACACATGGCTTCTTGAGAAACAGTTTCACCCTTTTCTAATACACATCCATAAGTGAGTGCAGCTATTGAACATGTTCTCAGGAAATATATATTTGTGTACAAATATATACACACATATTATAAATTGCATATGCATGTATTTTATGATATGTATTACACATATATCATATTATATATGTATTTACACAAACATATAGACATATTAACAACAAACAGCACTGACAGTGCTGTTTTTAAAATAATCATTTTAATTGCTCATTCTCTTCAGATTTTTAAATGTTACCTTACAAGGCTGCTAGCCAAAAAAAGGACAAAGTATTTTGGATGTTTTACCCATATTCTGAGATGATAAAAATTCTATTTCCTCAATCTGCCAAGCAAGCTTCATATTTTAGTAACTCTAAACATTAAAGAACTCTTTGTATAGGGTCTCACATAAATAGCAGATGGATTTCAGGTTGTCTACATTAAAATGCACATCTGCTCTGAACAAGATATAAATGTAAAATTTTGAGCTTTCTATTTATAGCTTTAGCCTAGTGAGGAAAAACAAACAAACAAACAAAAAAACCTAAAGCACGCATTAGATTTCAGAATAGCTTCTTGTTATTGTCTGCTCAATAGCAAATAATATGAGGATCATAAAGTCTTGAAGAAGACGTTGAATTTCTTCTGGGAATGGATAGAAGTGCTCTCTGGTGTGTTAAAATCATTTCAAAGGGTGCTTGCTGGAAAGAAAAACATTTTATTGCCAAAGAAATTTTAGTTATATGTGGATTTACAAACTTCTATGGACCTGCTAGAAATAGTAGATGCGACAGTGAAGTAAAGAAATCAAGACACTGAAGGTCTTGTGTTTTGTGCTTAGGTATTGGTGTCTGTCTTTTGATTTCGATTAGATTTTAGCTCATTTCAACAATTATTACACTATCAGCAAAATGTTGAAATATGTAATAACATATTACCTTTAATCTCTTATCGAATTACCATTCTGATAAATTTTCAATTTAAGATATTTTGAGGTTTTTATAACTAAATATGAAGATGTATGTTATACATGCTTTAAAGTTTACTGAATAAGCAACAACAGAATTGAAGCAATGCAAAAATAAGGTCACAAAGGCATTTATTAATTCGATATTATGACAAATTTAGTTGTGACTTTAGAGAGCTTAATTTGCTTCTCACTGTGTTATTCCACAGGTTACAATATCGTTTAGTCATCTCAAAAAAGAAATACTTTTTTCTTGTGGAATTGGCCGGGCGCGGTGGCTCAAGCCTGTAATCCCAGCACTTTGGGAGGCCGAGACGGGCGAATCACGAGGTCAGGAGATGGAGACCATCCTGGCTAACATGGTGAAACCCCGTCTCTACTAAAAAATACAAAAAACTAGCCAGGCGAGGTGGCGGGCGCCTGTAGTCCCAGCTACTCGGGAGGCTGAGGCAGGAGAATGGCGTAAGCCCGGGAGTCGGAGCTTGCAGTGAGCTGAGATCTGGCCACTGCACTCCAGCCTGGACGACAGAGCCAGACTCCTTCTCAAAAAAAAAAAAAAAAAAAAAAAAAAAAAAAAAAAAAAGACTATGACACTTGGACAATTACATACAATAGCCTTTTATTGCAAGAATACATTATAATTACAATGTTGTACTTCTTTTTTTTGTAACAAAGCATTTTTAAGAGATTTAGAGCTCTGCAATCTTGATATTATTCCAGTATCTGCTACTACTGTATTTCTTCAGAGAAATAATTAGTAAAATATTGTGGCAAAACAATGTACTACAGTAGAAAGCCTTTCTACTTATAAGTCAACAATTAATGTATCACAATAGCTAGAAATAGATCTAAAATATTAATTTCATATTGAAATGTACCTCTACCTGATCACAGATTTCTATTTTTTTTGAGTCTGTAGTAAGCTACTGTCATGTTCTATAGAATAATATTGGATTCTGAACTAATAGGAACAAGATAACAACAGAGAAGAAAACCAAGTTGTCAGGAGTGTGTTTCCTCTTGGCATGTTTGGATGATAGTAGGTAAGGAACTGGAAAATTTCTGGACGACTATGGTTCCTATTTTGTCTATTTTTTGAAAATTGGGAGAATATTTTTTAATGGGGAAAAGGTGACAAGGCATATATTTCTTGTTGAATTTCATGTCTTATTTGAGAAATAATTGTAAAAGGGCTTAGAGATACCCAGGAGAGAGGTTATAATTAGAGACGTGATAATTCTATACACACAGAAGTGGCAGGTGAAACCATGGACTTAGTAAAATCATCTAAGGAAAATGGCCAGAGGGATGAAAGAAAAAGTCAAAGGCAAAAATATGGATTATAATAACAAAGAAGAATCAGCCACAAAGGGCTAAGAGGCTGAGAAAGAGTAATCAGAGAGTTGGAATTTTAAAACCAAACTAGAGAAGACAAATGAAGTAAACATTTCAGTAGAGGGAGTAAAGTATAAATTAATAGTTCTTATATGTTAGACACTGTACTGAGTTCTTTACATACTTTATCTCGTGTCAAGTTCCCAATAATCTTTTGAAGTGATGTCATGTTCCAAATTTACAAATGAGGTAAATAAAGCAGAGAACAGCTAAATTTGCTTCCTGCTGCACATGTCCCTTAAGTACTAGAGATGAAGTTCAAACTCCGGTATGTCCGACTGCAGCTCACACTCTTAAATTCCCCTCTCTACCAGAACAGAAAAAGAGTTGATGATTTCTAATTGATTTTTATTTGACTACTTTTGACTTTGGACATTATCACTGAAAAAGAGATTATTAGATTTAGCAGCTAGTAACAATACATTTGGTATATTAGAATAAGAAATTCATTGAGTCTTGGGGAATTTATGAAAAAATATTTTATAAAACATAATGTGAAAGAAAGAAGGTTACAAATTTATAAACAATAATGATACCCAGCAATGATCTATATAATTACATAAACTGTGAACAATAATGAATATACTACTTAATATTTCAACATCAGTTTTTCCTTTGATAAAATGAACATAGTGCTTGAATTATTTTAGGTGAATAAATTAAGTGATATACACAAAATATCTTGTTACTATGAGTAGTGCATAATACAAGTTCCAATAAAAATAATATTTGCTATCTCTCAATCAAAATACGTGATTTGGCTGAGTTCTACTTTTAAGAGTGAGACTAATAGAAACCAGATTGCAATATGCTAATGAATAGATGAGTTATCTGCTAATGGAAACCATGATTGTAGATTTTTAAAAAAATGTTTGACAATGAAAAGAATTGCATTAGGGATGCAGTTGAATGGGATGATGAAAGTTAAAGAAGCAAAATGTTTACAGACTAGAGAGAGAAAAAAACTAAAGATGAAAAAGTTTATAGAACAATACCTTTGAAGAGGCCTGATAAAATAAAATTGAAATACTTTAAAATCATTGAATTTGCATAATTCCCATGATAATTTGTTTATTTCCCCCTTCTTTTCAACTCTTTTTAATAACAAGTACTGGAGATCTTGATATAAAAGATCAGGTTAACTTTCAGAATATCTGAAACCAGGTCCACTCTCTCTGCTGCTGACTCATGATGCGACTATGGGCAAGT